ATATGGAGCTAACTAGTGTACACTCATGAATCTTACAAATATAGAGAGGATGAGAGGAGTTAAATTAATGGTGCTTACATGAAGTTGGTTATGATAGAAAATGAGATAGATATATATAGATATCAAATGAATCATATATGCATGTAGTGGAAATATGATCTTATTATGTTAGTAGCCTCATTTTTGTTATAATTTTAAAAATAGATAAGGTAGTTTTTCTTAAGAAGAATTTATAAAATATGATCATCCAAGTGGAAATAAGAATTGGAAAAAAAAATTATTTATTCTAAGCTATACGAGAAAAAAAATACTTGCACTATAACCACCATGCATAATCACCACCACTATCTTCACCTCCAGCTCTACCCCATCCACTAGTATGACCATCACAACCACCAGTACTACACTAAAAAATCGTAACCCACATAGTCTACCATTCCTCATAAGCTAAACATACCACACCATCTCATCCATTATAATTTTTATCATCTTCATTTTATGTAGGACCATCAACATACTATCATCTTTCATATTTGAAACAAGCCTACTACCCCCTACCATCATAGTATGCCATACAATGTAGTTTCGATGACCAACACCCTACATAGAAAATTGCATAAAAGCACAAAGTTACTACACTTCTTGCACCTTAGAATTTATAATAGATTGAGCGTGATGATGGCATGTACAATAAATTGGGTGCTCGAATACATCATGTTCTATCTTACATCATGTTCTTATTTTATTTATATAAAAATATATTTTTATTATAATTTCATAGATTGACATATAATTTATCATTGACAACATATATATAAGTTTAAGGAAAAAGGAACAACAACAACAACAACAATAATACCACCAGCAGCAGCAACAACAACAATAATAATAATTAAATTTGATCTCTAGTTGAATTTTCACTAGTAACTTAATAAATTGGGTGCTCGAATACATATCACATTTGTTGAAAACCAAGCGAAAAATTTCAGAATGTTTGATTCAAATGGTTGCCCTGCCTGAAAAGAAAAACTCATTCAATTGGCATTAGTTTCACCATAGTCAACTGACAAAAATCTCTGGAAAGAAGTAATGTATTCTAATTAGTAGCATTGCCAAAAAAAATACTATAGAAAATTTGCCAAAATATTGTTCTCCAATTTAGTTCCTGACAATAAAAACTATTTCATTGCAAAATGTTTAGAAATATGGCCTATTGGTAGAAAATACCCTACTTTACATGATATTTTTGCTACTACTATAATATTTTTTAGTGAAACTATTAATGTATGTAAATCTTTTAGTTTATCCTTTGATCTCCTTGCTCCAAGCTTTAAGAGAACTCCAAGAAGATGAAGTGGAAGCTCTTACACTCCCAAATGCTCTCAAAGAGAATTCTCCTTTAGCCCCAAAATCTGAATGAAGTGGAGAGGAGAAGAAATGAGGATCCCCTTGGTTAAAGCCAACTCACCCAAGAGTATCCCAAACTTGCCCCTTGTTTATGCCCAAAATTGGCATGCTCCACCCTCCTACAACTTTCCGAAAGGGGGCCAAAAGTCTCCTCCATCAACTTTTGATCCTCCTTATGCACTTCTTGCCATATCCAAAGAATATCTACATTTTTCAGCTTCCTAGATAGGTGTGTCTGGTGAGAAAATCGAGAAAACACGGAGCAAAAAAATGGCATGTGCCTAGGTGCATGACCTTGGCACCTAGGCACTTAGGCGCCACGGCCGAGTGTCATTTTTCCCAGGGCTTGGTTTCCAGCTATTTTGGAGTAGATAATGGTGCTTAGGCACCTAAAACTGGTGTCTAGACGCTTGGTCATAGAGTTTGGATGTTGTCAACTCTATTTTAAGCCATGTGGGGGTTGTTTTGGGGGCCTAAGAGCTTAGGGTTGCCGTCTAGGCACCGGTACAACCCTAAAAATTCCATTTCCGCCTTCCTTGAGCTTTGTGAGACCACATATGAGTAAATTATGATCCCTTAACTACAAATATGAGTAATTGTCTCATCCGTTGATCAAATAATCTATTTCCAACTGGTGCTCTGGACTACATCACAGGTAAGGTGTTCCCAACCCTAATTTTCCTGTAGCGCATGTAGGAGGACTCCGTAACTTTTCTTGACCCTGGGGTGGCTCCAAACTAACAACGATGGACCTCTAAACACTATAATGAAACATATGTGATGCCCTGAGTGAGTCTGCCCAACGGTGGATTCTCTTGGTAAAGCCAAATTGTCACAGACCTTGGTTTTGTGCTCTGAACACATACCAGAGGTCTCAAATGGGTGTCTTCAGCTACGGGAAGCTACGATGGGTTCTTTTATCCACAAGGGACTCCGTATGGATATTTCTTGGTCTCAAAACATAAAAAAAAAAAAAACGCCGAACACTTTTGATGTTCTAAGTAAGTCTGTCGAATGACAAATTCTCCTGGGTAAGGTCGAATCATCACTAACCTTAGCTTCTTGCCCTAACCACATGCTAGAGAGTCTTGGATGGGTATCGTGAGCTGCAGAACATTATGAATGAATAATAGATCATCGCTATTCAGCCAGGTGAACACCCCATACGTGTGACATCAAAAATGGATGCCAATATAGATAATAAATATTTGAGATGAATTAATGATTTTAATTCTTCAAGCATATAAGAATTTTACCTTTACATTCTAACAATATTTTTTATTCTTATCTAAATAATTTATGTTCCCTTATTGAATGATTAAGCTCCACGAACATGCTTTTTTTTCTCTGCACATATGATTGCTTGCACCATGGTCAAGATACCACGTATTTGTTTGGTCATTATTTTTGTCCTTGTATGCTAATAATAATGTTCCTTCTTTTTACTATTATATTTTATAAGGCTGGCATTTTTCCTCCATTTTTTTGGGCATCTACATTCAGCTAGCAAAATGAGCAAATCTTTTATAATTGAAACAATTAATTTGTGATTTGGCATACCTTGGTCATGAATTTCTTCTTCCATGGCCTCTTGATGTTTGTTTATTTCTACTTCTACCTCAATTGCTAGAGTTATTGGAATTATTATATTCACTTATTTCTTCTTTTCGTTGTCGATGACCTCATCCTCGACCACATCCTCTTTCAACCGAAGTTTTCTTCTTTCAAATTTAGTTGAAGAAGTTGTATGATTGTTTCTAGTTAGTTTTTTTCCTTTTTTGTTTTCATCATAAACTCGCAAAGAACCCAATAATTACTCCACACTCATTGTTTCAATATTTTTAGTTTCTTCAATGATAATAAAATTATACTTAAATTTTGGATTAAGAGAATGAAATTTTTTTTCTATAATGTGTGCTTAACTCACATCTTCATCATTTCTTTTTAATTGACAATAGTTAACACTGCAAAGAAATAATCTAAAATTAATTCATATTTCTTCATTAATAAGAATTCAAAATCACTTTTAAGAGTTTTAAGTAGAATCTTTGTACCTTCCTCATTTCTTGGTGTAAGTTTGAAACTTCTCCCATGCTTCTTTTGCTATACTTATACTTGAGATTTTCTCGAAACAATCTTCATCCACTGCTTGATAGATGAGATAGAGAGCATCTTTGTCAATCATTGTTGAATCTTTCAAAGCTTTTCTTTGAGTTTGAGAGATAGCTATATCATCTTGCTTTCTAAAACCGTTCTCACTACTATCCTACACTTTTTGTGCTATAGTAGAGACTTCATATTGATACTAAAACTATTGTAATGATCTTGGTAAGCACCAGAACTTGGAAGGGAATCCTTCCTCTATTTGTCATCGCTCTGATTTATTGAGAAAAATTAAAATTTTTAAAAGCTCAAAATCACAAAACACAACTCTCAAACTCACACACTCTATTTAGAAGCTCACAAAATTTTTCTTAAGACTTGATTCAAAACCCATAAAAATATGAGGTATTTATACAAATTTAGAAGTAATAAACAACTCACATTAATATCGACCGATTAAACTAATGTCAAACATCCTCTCTTCACCTACCACACGTACCATACACATGCATCACATATCTCACATAACATTAACTTTTCAACAAGTTGAATCTTTTAAAATAATTTATCTCGAACACAAAACAAATTTATTTCTAACAATTTATTCCTAAAGAGCCTATGATCATGAATCCTATAATAGCCCTTAAAACCGAATATAAACAATTATTTTATTATACTACAATTCTATAAGAACATATCTTCTGGTGAAATATCTGCCAGTAATTAATTAAAAATATTTACAATGAAAACTCTCCTCATCAGTATGTATTTCCAACTAAAGATATTACAACTAAGTAGATAATCCGACAAAAACAGAAGAGTTTCCAACTAATTTTTGGACGGAAACTGATAATATTTTTGTAGTGAAGCTTAAGAATTGCCAAGCCCAAGCCTTTATATACACCACAATAAGCAAAACAGATAGGGACATATTCAGCCCGATTAAACTATGTTAAAAATTAATAATAGAAGAGATAAGAACAATCATATTTTTAGTTACATTTCAATGTCGGCATAGATGCTGGCATGAGAAAACTCTTGCAATATTTGAAAGATAATTAGAAGCTCAAGAGAAGTAAAGCAGTTAAAAATCTATAGAAATTTTTGAACTCTGATTAAGGCTCTCTACACACAATACAACTGAAAATTGGAATGCTTCCTCTCTCTTGAAAAAATACTTCCTCATTTATCTCTTCCTTTCTATTTAATAACATGTATATAGGCCAAAAAAAAAAAAAGAGTAATAGACATGAAGAGTAATAGACATGAAAATTTTTACATGAAAATTTTTTAAAAAAAGCATTTTTATAGGTAAATAACAAGAATCATCACAAATAGGCAATATATCAGGTCTATAAAACCATGCTGTAAAGCTGATTTTGATGCAAAGTTGATATTTTGGCACCATGAGAGTTTGTCTTCCCCCTTCTTGTTTCTGCAAGACCCCTCCTTTTATTTTCTCAACCTTCTTTCGTTAATTTTTCCTTATGTTGAGTTTTTCCATGAAATCCTTTCCTCTTTTCTTTCCTAACACCTTTTTGAACTCGTTTCCCACCATCCTGGATTTATTATACTTGGTTCTTTTTTATATTGAGAAGAGCTTCCTTGAAAGTACTTATAATGATATATTTCTCTTGTTTGCCGTGATGCTTCTTGGTTTTCTCCTCCATCGTTATTACCCATGATGATCATGGCTGTCAGGTGACCAATATGAGTACTTTAGCCATTCTGTCTCTTGTGGCTGAGCAATTGATATTTCCTGCACAAGCATGCAATACAAAAATACCAAACAAAATATTTTAAAAGGTTAAAGCAATGCATATGTACATAAAATTATACTTAATTATATATCTAACACTTCATATTTATATTTTATAACATTTTTGCAATAAAATTAGTGATTAAAATATTAAATTTAAAGTTTGATTGGTTAAAATATCTATTCAATATTTTTGGTGATTGTTATGAAAAAAAACCCATAAATTTAATCTATCATACCTGTATTAGTAATGATACACTGAAAGAGAAATATATATATATATATATATTATATATATATAAATTTATTTAATTATTTATATTCTTGTTTGATAAAATAGTAGACATTCAAATACAAAGAGCTACTTTTTTTTAATCTTTATCTTTCTCTTTATCTTTTCCTTTATCTTTTGGAAAATAAATTCTAAAAACATATTCTTTGCTGCTAATCCATGTGAGGGTTAGAGAATCAAGTCTGAAAGAAAACAACACACCAGCTAGCGAGGAGATGATAGTTCCAGTATTTGCTGTCTCTACGTATGATTTCCATAAAGGAAAGTTCTGTTCTTTCTTTGGCCCTATAAAATGTGGGACCCACTTGTTCCCTACTCCAAAAAATCCAGTTTTTAATTTAAATTTTCAAACTTTACCCTAATTTGAACTACTTCTGGAGCTGTTCTCAATATTAATTACAGTGACCATATAACCAGAATTTTCTATTACAAGAAATACAATTGCAATTCTCACTGTTATTTCTTCAAGGCTACTACACTAATCTCTTTAAAAAAGCTAGGAACTCATAAGCTAGCAAACTATATATAATGTCTTGCAAATATATATATATATATATAAAAGAAATTTTATCAGACTGATAGCTTACTGCTTTTATATCAGTTGAAGTGCAGCCCATTATCAACTCTTCCAGACCAGCTCCAGCTGATCTCTCCACCAATTTCTGCTGTTGTTGATGTTGCTGTTGATGCTAAATTAGACATAAATCACAATCAAAAGGTCAAACAATTATATAAAAATTATAACTTTTAATAGTTTCACTTTTCAAAGTGAATGTTTTTTGTCATAATTTGAGCATTACTGATCTAATGTGGAAGAAAGTACCTCAAACTTATCATGAAGAAGGATTGTAGAGACATGGTAGGGATCATCCAGGACCATGGAATTCTGATGCAGTGTGGCTTGAGAGATTATAGAAGAGATGGGATTACCAGGCCTGGTTATGTTGAAGGGTGTGGTAACCACTGCTGCTGATTGATGTAGTTGCTGTTGATGATGATTGTGCTCTTCGTGTTCTTCCTGGCCCATTGAAGCTTCTGTTGAATGAGTTGCAGCTGCTTCTCCAATCCCAACCTGTTCATTAAGAAAAAAAAAAAAAAGAAAGTTTTGAGATCGAATTTTTTGAAGTTTTTTGCTTTTGATATCTTTCTTGCTGCAATTTAATTTCTTCTGACAGATAACATAAGATGACACATGAGTCATAGATGCATATTTATGTATCTTTGGTATCATCAAACATAAAACTTTTTCATAACTACATGATGTAGACTTGATAATTCCCTTATTAATTATTCATTTATATACATAGGAGCTTTTCAATATTATATATATATATATATATATCTCCAATCCCAACCTGTTCATTAAAAAAAAAAAAAAAAAGAAAGTTTTGAGATCGAATTTTTTGAAGTTTTTTGCTTTTGATATCTTTCTTGCTGCAATTTAATTTCTTCTGACAGATAAATCAAGATGACGCATGAGTCATAGATGCATATTTATGTATCTTTGGCATCATCAAACATAAAACTTTTTCATAACTACATGATGTAGACTTCATAATTCCCTTATTAATTATTCATTTATATACATAGGAGCTTTTCAATATTATATATTATATATATATATATATAGAGTAAAACATTCCCTCCAAATATTAATCTTTGAACAACTACAATCATCCAATATCATGATTTACAGCACCATATTTCTGAAATGAGTTCTAAGGTTTTGACTTTTTAATGAAGGAAAAAAAATCATCCTAGTTGTCTCATTATTACAACACAAAATATTATGCTAGTAAGTTGAAATTCCGTATATAATATTATTGTCTTGCATAATATAAAGACAATACTTTATAGTATTATTGTGCATGAAATCCGCATGCATCCGAACTTCCACATACTTCTCTAGTCAGATTAATACTTTTCACTTCCTTTTAAGTCAACACATTTCAGCTCTATTTCCTATATAAGAACACTATTTTCTCCTTCAAAAAAACAACATCATATCAAAACCTAACTCTTAAGAAAAATCATCTATTTGGTTCTCTAGTTCCAAATTCATTAATCTAATGTTAAATTTTTGAATAAAAAGATCATTGCAGCTTATGTAAAATGCCATGCAAATTTTTTTAAAAAAAATACAACAATTTCCTTTAAAAAAAAAAAAAAATCTTAGTTCAAAACTAACCTTTATAATGACATATTCATGCAGAAGAACACAAATCTCAATATAAAACAATTAAAGATAATTTATTTTCTTAAAGAACATTTTCTGTCCTAAAAAGATATAATATAATTAGCCACCATATTTATAATTATGCATCACATACAACTCTTCTCTCGACAGCATCTAACCAAAAAACATGCACACAAGATCAAAAACAACCCCTAGCCCTACATGCACATAACCATGCAGACATTCTTACTTAAAAAAAAAAATTTAAATTAAATAAAATAAATTTTAAAAACGAATTTAATATAATCCACTTCACCTCATCAAAACTCTTCCTCTCTGAACTCCAACTGCACTGTCTCGGTTGGGTCTGATAGAATATCTTCGAAACCACAAGCTCTCCTTCCTTCTCCTCCTCAAGCTCCCCCAAGTGATACTGATGCATCACCCAATTCGTTTTCTCAGGCTTCCTCTGCTTCCCAAAATTCGTGTACAGAACCAGTATCTTCTTGCATCCCTTTTGCCTCCCGTTAGCCGTCACAGCTCTTGTCTTCCCCGTCTTGTGCCACCGAGTTTCCCCTCGCTGCACGTCGAGTTCCGTCTGTATCTTCCTCCTCTTCCTTGTTCCAGTCGTGTAGGCTTTCGATGGCCGGTGGAAGAAGTGCTTGCTTAATCCATCTTTTGTGACACCTTCATGATGAATGTTAGACATGTGACGGATTCAGGATGATTTAAAAATCTTTTTTTTTTTTTTTGGGTAAAGGAGTGGACTTTATGCCATTTGTGTTGAGTTAAATATTGATATGGGAGATTGGATGAGACCTGGGAGTTTTTCAGGATGAGTGTAACAGATTCCATCTTCTCCTTCGATTGTGGGGATGAATTCATCTATCAGAGGGTGAGATCTTAAGATGGATTGAGTCGAAACTTTGGCTTCGAGGTGTTCTATCAGTTCCTGATCTGTGGGATCGAATTTTACTCCGGCTGGCAGTCCAACCCAGTCCTAATATGAATCAGAAAAATATAATAAAAAGAATTGAAATTAGGTGTAGAAGAAATTTTAATATCATGGAGTATCAGATTCTTTGCAAAAAAATTGTTTTTTTTTAAGTTAATTAAATTCTTACCGGCTTTCTTTCTAGTTTGTGGCCGCAGCTGGGGCACTGCTTTGATCCGCTCATGATCTGATGCTCTTCTATGTGGCTTCTACTCATGGTTGGTTGATGATCACCAATCTTAGAGAAGAAAATCTCTAACTTCTCTTCATAAATACTCTGAATGATGCAGAGATGTCAGCACCCATAAAGAAAAACATAAAAATGAATAACAAGAGTATATAAATCAGAAGAAATTAATGCATAGAGGAGAGAAAAATTACAAAGATTGAAACCTTGAAGAGAAGATGAGTGGTTCAGCCTGAGGAGGAGAGGATGGAGGAAGAGGAAGAGAAAGATGAGAGCTTTGTTGAATTTAGAAGAAATATATTAGAAACGAAAAACATAGAACTTAATTAAAAGCTACTTATATTTAAAAAAGTATGATAGATATAAAAAATTCCAAGGAAATCCACCTACTTTAACCTATAAAATCATCAAGCAAAGAAAAAGTTGTTGAAATACACCTCTCAAGAACACATGACGCCTTATGCCTACCTTAGATTATGAATCAACAGTAGAGAGAGAAAGAGAGAGAGAGAGAGAGAGAGAATTCCCTCTCTAGTGTTTAGATACAAAAGGGAATTAAAGCAACGGTCCACATAGCTGTGAGGTGTTAGTCCGTTACCATACAACGAATTCAAAAGAACAGAAACGAAAGGTTTTAATGCACAGCGGTAAGATTAAATGGAAGAGATAGAGAGAGAAGGTAGAGAAAGAAAGGGAGAGAGAATACGAACTATTTATGTCTTAGTGGGAACAAGTGATCAAAGACTTTCCCACTTCGCAAAAGAAGATGATATGAACTTCTATATCTAGAAATCGTAAACAGTGATGAGCAGCGTGATTTGGCCCATCTTTCTTGCATGAGATGATGAGATATATATCAAATTTATGAATTTTGAACAAAGGCCACAAAAATAAAAAAAGGGAAAAGGTAAGAGAGCTCAGATGGGGAAGAGAGCTTGGTTAGAGAGAGAAAGAGAGCTTGTTTAGAGAGAGAAAGATCTAGTGATAGAGAGAGAGAGAGAGGGGGGGGGAGGAGGTGAATCCAACGGTTGCTTATGATGCAAGGCAGATGAGCAGTACACTCGATGATTTCTTATAAAATAATGTTGGAAAAGAATTTGTAACGTATGAGAGGAGAGAGAGAGGGCAAAGTTTGTGGGAGAAGCAGGGCCATGTGTGATACTATGGAATTTGATATATATACCTTTAATTTTCTGCATGCTTTGCATAATCTACTTCTGGTTGTTTGACATGGTGTTAAGAAATTTGTGGTGAGATTAGCGATGGAGTGTGCTGAAGGGTTTTCAAGTTGGGTACGGGATTGTAGCGTAGAGTGAGGCGGGGATATGGGAAGAGAGATCCTGTGCAGTAAAATTGAGAAATTGTTATATATTTAATTTACAGCTGTTGGATGTTCTTTAAGATTCGTGTTGACTGCGAACGTGTAGATAAAGAATTAATGTTGAGTTTACTATTATCAATTTTTGTGTCTTTAATTTTAAAAAAAAATAATAAGTGAATTAGAGTGATAAATTTTCAACGTTGAGCAGCAATTCATCAACACCTAAATATATTTTATGCTTGAAGTCTTTGAGGTAATATCAAAACATAAACAAACAAAATAATTTGTATTTAAATAATTATATATATATATATATATAATATATATATATATATTCATTTTTCTTTTTTTTTCTTCATTTTTTTTCCATAATGAATGGTCAAAGGCTATTATACTAGCCTCCAACCACTCTTAATGTGTCTAACAATTAGAGTACTATCTCCCTAAGACCAATTGTATTAGAGGAGATTCGAACCCCTCGCCTAAGGTGAAAATTTTTCATAAGGAGTCCGGACATAACTCTGCGTAAGGACTCCAGTAATATGTCGTCATGTGTGCTACATCGAACCCACCTAAAAAATATTAAAGTGGACCACGAAGGTTATTTGAGTGGAATCACGAATGTTATTAGAAGGGTTATTGAGAGGTTACTGGGACATTAATGCCAATAACGTCGTAATAACCCCTCAATAACATCTGTAGTTCCATCTAATAATCATATGTCATAACCCCCATAATAAACTTTGTGGTCCCACTTTAATAACCCCTTGTAATAACCTCCAATAACTTCTGCGGTTCTATTTTAATAACCCCATCTAAAAAAAATAATGTGACCGCGAAAGTTATTGAAGTGGAATTGCAGAAGTTATTTGAGTGGAACCGCAGATGTTATTAAGATGGTTATTGAGAGTTATTGGGGCATTACCTCTAATAACGCCGCAATAATTCCTCAATAACATCTGTGGTTTCATCTAATAACCATCTGTAATCACCACCGCAATAAACCCCAAATAACCTCTGTGATTCCACCTTAATAACCCCTTGCAATAACCCTTGCGGTTTCACTTCAATAACCACATGCATTAACTCCCGTAATAACTCATAATAACCCCTCAATAATCCCTCAATAACCTTTGTGGTTTCACTTCAATAACACACTCCTTAATAACCTACGTGATGCAGCACACGTGGCAGCATATTATCGGAGTCCGCATGTAGAGCTGCGTCTGGACTCCGTATGGTAAATTTTTTCTGGCCCAATAGGTCTTATACCGTGGATGTCAACTAACATGTAGGGTTACGCTGCACAAAGAATGAAATATATATATATATATA